AAGGTAGTAATACTAAATTACTTCTCTATAAGTATAGTAGTATTATTATATATATATATATATATATATATATATATATATGTATATGTGTGTGTGTGTGTGTGTGTGTGTGTGTTTTGCATATATGTATACATGCATGTATACCACTTTCTTAAAACCGTAAAATGGACTACATGTTAGTTCTTGTGGTACATTACCCCATCACCGGTAGTCTTGAAATATTCTGTAGAGTTGCGACACATCCCATGTTATTAATCAAAAACAGCCTATAATTAATTATACCCATCATAAGACACAAGTATTAAGCCTATTATATTTTTTAACACTGCATTCTTATTCTAGTTCTTTAACAATTTTCAAGAATTAGAAGAGCATATGATAATAGTATTCACCCAAACTGTGTTCGTCATATCGACTGCTGGTGACACTTTCAGCTCAATCCTAAACCCATCAGATCAGCTGAGACACAACAAACATAGTATAGTTGGAATACTATTATTATAAACTCTTCTAATTCTTGAAATTCCACAAGGGACTAAATACAGAATGCAGTGTTAAAAAATATACTAGACCTATGACAAGTATAATTAATTATAACCATGCTTCTCTAGTTTGGAAAAACCATTCACACCATAAAGACAGCCTAATTCTCTCATAAAAATGTATTTTACAATTATTTGGACTGTAGTAGGATTACTAATTTTCAAACCTTTTGGTCTTGTTTAATGCTAAGAATTAAGTACATGTTCACACACTCCCAATATTCTATGTTCCTTTCCTTACTATTTCTCTTTAAACATTAACTTCAATAAGAATCATGCACTTAGTTTTATTCACAGACCGTTGATTTAATTCATCATGAGAACTATGCAATTAACCCTGTTATCCAAGACTTACCACTGCATTACATAACTCAGAGAAGAATCTCCTAATGGAATAGTGAAGTAAAAAAATAAATTCTATACTTAAACAATTCTATATATTTTAGAAGACAATTCTTCACTTATCAAATACAAATTTATTCCAAAAAATTGCATCTTCAGGAATAGTCCATACCCTTTAATGTTTAGTCACATTACTAAAAGGGCAATTTATTAAATACATCATTTTCAGTACTAATGTCAGACCCGACATGAACATTTTCACAAATTCATGAGAAATAGATCTTGGAGTCTTTACACAAAATTTTCAGGCATAGTGAATTCATGATAAAATACACTATGGTTTTATCATGAATATGAGCAAATTGAGCACTATCCAGCTGAATTTTATCTACTTGGATGCTCTAGGAGGCAAACTGAGTCACATTACAAATATATCTTCACAACTTACAGTACCTTGCAAAGTATTCGCTCCCTACCAATAATGTATCATTTTTGATGAAATACAAATCATGTAAACAATTTTTTTAATGAACTTGTTTTTATTCAAAACTTTAATGATCAAACTTAACACTGTTACGTGTAAAGGAGGTTGAATGTCAGCAAAATTTGCAGAGTAAATATATAACTTCAAATTTGCTGATTGCACAAGTATTCAGCCTCCTAAGCCAGTACTTGTTGGAAGCACCTTTGGCAGCAATTACTGCTGTGAGTCTTTTAGGACAGGTCTCTACCAATAAAATGGTCATTTTCGCCCATTCTTCTTGGCAAAATTGTTCCAATTCTGACAAGTTCGTTGGGGATTGTTGATGGACTGCAATCTTCAAGTCTTGCCATAAATTTTCCATTGGATTCAAGTCAAGAAGTTGACTGGACCACTCCAGGACATTCAATTTCTTCTTTTGAAACAACTCAAGTATAGCTTTGGCCTTGTGCTTCGGGACATTGTCCTGCTAAAATGTTAATTTTCAACACAGTTTTAGATTCTTGGCTAACTCAAGCAGGTTAAGATTTGCCCTAACTTTGCACCATCCATCTTCACCTCAATCTTGACAAACTTCCCAGTCTCTGCTGGTGAAAAGCATCCCCATAACATGATGCTGCTGCCACCACCATGCTTGACAGTTGTGATAGCACTGACTGGGTGATGTGCTGGGCTTGCACCAAATGTAACGTTTTCACTTGAGACCAAAAAGCTTAATTTTTGTCTAGCCTGACCACAAAACCTTCTGCCACAGTCTGAAGTATCATTTACATGCTTTGTCCCAAACTCCAAACGAGATTTAAAATGATTCCTTTTCTGTAATGGCTTCTTTCTTGCCACTCGCCCATACAGGCCAGTTTTGTGTAGGGACCAGGATATTGGCGATGTATGAACACTGACTTCCATCTCAGACATTGAACTTTGCAGATCTTTCAAAGTCACTGTTGGCATCCCTAGCCAGTTTCCTGCTTGCTTGGCTGCTTAGTTTGGAAAGGTGGCCTGATATGGGTAGTGACGAGTGGTATGAAGCACATTCCACTTCTTAATGATGGACTTAATCATTCTCAAAGGGATAATCAGCAACTTTGGAATTTTCTTGTAACCTTTTCCTGATCTGTGCTTCTCTACCACTTTATCCTGGACTTCTTTGGAAAGCTACTTGGTTTTCATGGTTGGTTTGTCTTATCACTATGTGAGTTGTGGCTTGAACAGATGCATTTACTCTGAATTCAAGTTAAATCACTCTGATTATGTACAAACAGAGACAATTACACTAATTTTGTGACCTTTCAAACTAATCTTTTGCACTTGAGCTGATTTAGGGTTGCCGTAGAAAGAGATTGAATACTTATGCAATTAAAAATATTCAAATTTTCTTTCAAAGTCTAACTTACTTACATAATATCAGCATTATTTAGCTTTCTCAGTTTGGAGTAGATTGTGTATATTCTAAATATAAAGTCCCAGTTGAAAGTTTCGTAATCGCAAAATCAGATGGCAACAAAATGTGGAACTTTGGAAGGGGGTAAATACATTTGCAAGGCACTGTAATTAAATTTTCAAATAAGGACAACAGTACAACACAAATATTTAGTTTTATTTTTCTTTTCTTTTAGTTTATAAAACACAATTCAAAAAACTTATCTCCATAAAACATATTAACTCTCTCAACACAAGCTCAGTCAATTTGACTGACCATGTGACCTCACTGTACTCAATTAGTCTTTATAGATTTAATACTTCTAACTTTCAATATAGTGTATATATATATATATATCTTCACAACATTTGGCAGTCTTTCAGTTCATATTATAGGTCTTTCACATACAGAGCATTTGTTTTGAATAATCCATGTGCAAAGTAATTTTCATGTTAAAATTAAAAATACTATTCCTCATCTCAAAAATATCAAATTTCCTTTGTGTATGCCTTAAAACCTTCTAAATGCATATCAAATGTTTCTTTTAAGTAAAATTTCATAGTTTATCTGTTATTTTCTCTACCCTATCTCAAAACAGGTTCGGTCAATTAGACCAAAAAAAATCGAATAAACCTAAATTACCCTTTTTTCTTTTTAGAATGACTTCAAATTGCAACATGAATCTACATTCGTTTATCCTAAGTAGCTCTAAGTATCATAACAGTATACATCTATTTATAATTTTAAATTTTATTGCTTTATTGCCCTTTGAACCAAGTCTAATTACTATCTGAGCCATTATAAGTTGTTAATCCCTCAGGGAATATGCAGCTCATATTATGCTGTCTAATTACATTACCCAGGAGCTGCTCACATGCATGCCTCGTGAACCATTTTAATTAGATTAATATTATTAAATATTTTACCTAATCAAGTCTCAAATAACTTAAAAAGATCCATATTTTTAGATTTTAGTTATTTTTATAATAATAAATAAAGAATAAATATGAAAAACAAGAAATAAAGTACTTACCCAATCTCCTTTTTTCTTGCTCTCGAGTTTTAGAAGAGAGTTAACCCTAATGTTTTATACTATAGATAGTAACGCACTTAATAATTTTTATTTAATTAAATACACCAAAGAATATAGACTAATAACATGAAAAAAGTAGATAAATTCTCCTAACTCTCAATTTTTCTGGCTTTCTAACTGTGCGACAAGAGCCATTACAAATTCATCCAAGTTAGTCGTTAACTTTCTCACAGGAACGAATCTTGTACTGTGAGTGAAATTGACTTCCAACTGTTCAGAACATAATGTTATACAATACATCATTTGATAGATGAAAATCTTGACTTTCTTTTGGTTATAGGTAATATATAATGAAACATATCATAGAACTCTCAACGAATTGGGAAAGAGAGGATATGACAGGTGGGTTCTGATTTTATATTTGATAGCTATGTAATCAAACAAAATTGAAGGCTATAAAAATTATGGTTTGTTTGAGCAATAACAATTTTATAGAGAGTATTTTACATTTAATTTCGTACTTTTCAAGAGGTGGTGGATAACATAAGGATGATGACATGCTTAGAAAAAATGTGTCATATGGGTCACACTAGTGGAAATTCAAGATTTTTTAAATATTGCCTTGTAGAATTAAGAACTTAAAACTTGTATTAAAATATGGATTATTAGCTAAGATTTTATGCTATTCCAATTGGTATAAAATAAACAAAAAGTAGTTTAATAAAATTTTGAATGCAAGACACTAAAACCTTGTGTCATGTGTAGTAAAGGGTACTCAGGGCAATAGGGTTAATGAAGAGGGGCAGAGGATTACATGAAGCAAGTTAGATTTTTTAGAAAAATTTAATAAGGAAATGTGACAGATTACTCAGATTAAACTTAACACCATACATCTGATACAGGGTGAAACAGATTAGCAAGATTATAATTGATTTTGCACAGTAAATGTGAAGTGAACCTGACTGCTAAACTTCACACAATGGATATAATATGAATTAGAACTTCAACTTTTTTGCTACTGTCTCTTCCCCATTTGTAAGAGGTTCAGTTTTCCTAACTGCTTCTTTCTTCTTTTCAGCAGTCTTCATTTGTGTCAAAGCAGAAGCCTTTAGCTCCTCATTTTGTTTTAGAATAGCATTGCATTTGCTGCATTAACTCAACTGAAGTCTTTGGAAGTACATGCAGAATTCCACATCTGCATTCCATCCTTTCTTAAAGCATCAGCTTCAACAAGTTTTTGCTTTACTGCCTCTAATTCCTTTCTTCTCATTGACTGTTCATCATTAGGCTTAGAATCAGCTTCCTGAGCAGCAGTGACTGCATTGTTCTTCAGCTTTTTTTGTGTGTTTCAAGGTATTGCAGGTAATTAGCTCTGGCATTTCTAACAGCTTGCAGGGTCAATGAATTTATTGAAAGGTTTTCTGGCTTTCTGTTATACTTTCATATGAATGATGAGGTGGCTCTGTAATTAAAGACTCAGACATCCGAGTCAGTCATGAAGTTATGATCAGCTTATTCTCACTGAAAGAGCACTCAATATCTGCATTTCTATGTCAGAATGTGAGATGAGACAAATCTTCATAAATATAGTCGGACTTGGATACTTTGGCAAACCATTCAACAGTTTGATAGAAACTATATGAGCCCAAAAAGAATTCCCACACAACACCCCAGTCTGGATCTCCATAATTATCATCTTGAGAAGGCTCAATTCTGAATGTTTTCCACTTATCAACTGCACAGTCAACCTTGCCTGAGGAAAACAATTTCATGACAACAGCTAATCTTTCAATGGCTTCAACTGACCAATCTCCTTCTCTTCATACAGGATGCAAAAAGTGTATATCTCTCAAGATGGGTGTTTACAGTAAAGCTGATACAGCATTCTTGAAAAATGTCTTAGCTCTCAAGAAAAAGAAGACTATCCATACTGTGTGATACTTTTGTCTGAGAGAAGTGCTTTCAGTGTCTTACTGGCTTCATGTCCAATGTATGTAACTTTCAAATGGTTTTCATTTGCAGAAAAATCAATCTCGTATAGCTGAGCTCCATATTTACCTTCTACAACATCATGCTTCACAAAACAACGAATTAGTGTGATGACCAACAATGACAACTCATCATAAAAAATATGAATAATAGGAGCTTCAAACTGAAAAAGCCTTTTCAACTTTGTAAAAATGGATATAACCGAGTTCAAAAATTCCTTTTCACTAGAACAACTTTGTTGTTCATGACACACATAAGTCTCCTGATCCTCCAATTCTTCTGCCTATCAACATCTGAAAGAAGATTTGAGTACAACATGTAGTGCTTAAATACAAGATATTGTTCCATACAACATTCTGTAACATCTTTTAGAGTAAGCCATCTACTCTGTACATGTCAAAGGAAAACATGATTTGTAATATTCCACTTGACCTGAACTTTCTCAAAATCTTCCTGTCTCACAGGTGATACTTTGAATAATTAAAACAGTTCAATACCAAGAGTTTCAACATCATTTCCAAATAAATCATTGGCAGACGAAAAAGCATTGTGAACCTCGTGGATATTGCAGGTGCCAATTTCAACAAGTTTTGGGTTGAGAATTTCCTTTATGCCTCTGGTTAAATCCTTCATTACATTTGGCCTATTAGTTGATATCTGTCACAATTTTTGAGTGTAAACAGGAGTAGCAACAGCAACAATCTTTTCAAGAATAACTGCAGCCTGAGCTCTACCAAATTTAACTGACACCAAATGAGAAATGACGTGTCGACACTGGCTGGAGTAGTATAGAACTAGAATGTCCAACTGTTGCCAATGTTTTGCAGTTGTAGCTTTGTCAGTTTCCAAAGTATATACAAGAGCCGAGTTGCATATCTCATTTTCGATAATATTTCAAAAATGAGGCCCAAGTCCATCAGGAAGAATTCTGCTTGCTTTATTACACAGCAATGTTTGAATCTAAAAACATTACTGGAAGAGCTGGAATAACTTTATCACAAAACTAACAGGCAGATGACACACTGCAACTGCTCTACCCCATATTGCTTCAGCAGCAGTAATCTGCTCAGAAAATGACAATATCTGATCACTACTTTTGGCAGCCTGTACTCAAGCAAATAAGTCCACAGTGTTAATTTGAGAAGTTTTCAGTTGTTTCAAATATTGCCTTTGTCATGACAGTTTTCAGTACCTGATATACGAGATTTCTTTTCTGAATGTCAAAGCAATGCATCACAACCCCATGATTTCACATCTATATCTGTTTCACAAATTAGATAATGGTTAGCATGCACACCTGTTGAGGATATGATGCACGAAAACCTTATATCATCGTAATTTTTATCTTGGAAAATCAGCACAGACTACTTGCCTTCTTGGCTCATTAGACATATTCACTCGCTATTGTAAAAAAAAAAAGACATTCTAGTTTAAGATATAGATAGCTTATATAGATACTGATAAAAAAGTACAAAGGCATGCACAATTAACATGCAAATATGGTATGGTGCTACAGTATTACATTTAAGTGATTTAACTTATTATAGCCTGGTACAAATTGTCTTATACAGATAATAAAAACTGGCAATTAGATGTGGAAGAATGGGTACAATTAATGAAATATAAATTTATCTATATATGGACCTTTAGCCTCCTTAAGTAACAGCATAACTTATCATATGCCATGCACAAACACCTTTGAAGGCTTCACTTCATTGTCATAGTGGAAAATAAGTTTTAGGGTTAAATTTTTACAGATAATCAAAATGAGTAGGGTGGGTGACCTATGACTATTCTTAATATTTTAATGGTCTCAGACTGCCCACAAAGGAATTTTGCTATTTCCCATTGGTGATCAACTTTGAAATAATGAGTATTAGCACATGTAGCTTAGTATATAAGATATCTTGAATAAAATTATTTATGTACAAGATTATAAGATAGAAAAATTATTTCAGTGAAAAGTTTAAAAACTTACAATCATAAGAACGTATGCTTAGTACCAAATTCACTAAAGTAAATGACCACTGTCATAAGACCTACAATAACATGTTTTTGTCATATTTTTCAAAAAATTGAATTTGGTTACATTTTGCAACAGTGGACCATCACTGTAGCTTCTTTAATTTACTACTTACAAGGGAGGACACAACAAGATGATAAGAGCTTTTAAATAAAAGTTCACAATACTATTATCAGTTTGACACACATCACTGAACACTTGCCCTTGTTTTGGTTTTGGTAATTGTATTGTGTTATTGTGATTATGCTTTTCTGTGAATAATTTTCCTGTTAATTGTACTTCTATTGTTGTTGAATCTTTTTCCTACACAATCCAAGTTGTACATTGGAGAGATCAATACACTCCATAGTCTGGTATTCTCTGAATCTTCAGTTAGCAGGCCTAACTGACTGCTCTGCAGGAAAACCCTTTTACAAGAGAAATACTACAATATTGCATGTTATTTGAAAAAGGAATATTTTATGCATGTCACTCTTACTTTCTGCATGAACCGAGTAGATATTTTAAACAACAGGAAACAAATACAGTATACCTCATTTAAAACATGATTACAATTAGTATACTAGATTTAATCATTAAATTCTGATTGAATTATTAAATATAAAGATTTGTCAATTTTCAAAAGACCTTTATGTACACATTTTCAATACATACTTGTAAGATTTTGCTATGCACACATGTCAATTTGTATAATTCTTTATTTCTTAATATATTTACAGGACGAATCTTATGACAATTTTATTTACAAATTAAAATCATTTTTAATTAATCTGTTGAGTACAATCTTATCTTACTTAGTTCTTTTACTATACATTTCACATGCTAATAATTTCAAAACACAGATTTCTTTAAAAAAAGTTGAAATATATACCAGAATCAGCTTCAGTGGCAGTATGAGTGTAAAAAGTGGAATAATCAGGATAGTTTTCAACAGTAGCTGAAATACCACGTCTGTTATGAATGTTAGGTGACAAATATGGGTTTGGGGTACCAGGAATGATACCAGGAACAATGGAACTAAACATTGCATCTTCATCTTCTGAACTATCTTCTTCAAGAATTTGATACCACAGAAGAAACATTCTCACGCCTTCCACACGTAACTAGAAACAAGAAAATGATTTTATCTTCATAATAAAAGAAATAATAATAATACAGAAATGTTATGTGTCAATTGTACCTGTCAGTTTTCTGTCAATTTTTCCACACAGATACAAAAAAAACTTTCTAGAAGATCAATTACATGTGTAGTCACAGACAAGTTTAAAAGCATAATACACATTTAGTCCTTAAATTCAAATTTGAAAGAAAGATGTTCTAAGTGATATTATTATATTTAAATAGAAATGACAAAATATTACAACTGATCAGTACATATAACACAATAAACTAAGTAATTAAGTTTAAATGTATGACACAAATATAGGCATAACTTACCTCAAATAAGACTGCACTTAGATTGCAATTTTTCATCCTAATAAACACTTACAATTAGCATTATTTACACTATTTATTTGAAGCAAACAGTTGTATTAAAGATGATCTTCAGAAATCACCAAATATGCAAATTGCTACAGATACCAAAGGACCACATTATGGGTACAAAATTCACAGATACTTGTAGGAACAGTTATAACTCTTTGAAGCTGCTTAGAGCAATATATTATATACAAATAAGTATTACAGTGACAAATGTTTCAATTTATAATCAAAATGCTAAAATCTTTGTCCAATAATAATAATATACTTTACAAACTGTCCACGAATGTTTTCACTGTACCTATTTTTGCTTTGAAACATTATCAAATTTTAACATTTCTCAATGAACGCATCATAAATTTAACAGCAACACATGCTGACTTCATTAAGTACTTTTTTAGTCAAACTGTTACACTCTCATTATTCATACATCTAAGCAATTTATCAACTAGCTTTTCTTTACTACTAGGCTGACTCAAGCAAAGTGAATTTTAGCTTAAGCTGTAAATAACTGAACATAGCATTTTCTCAAAGACTGCATTTAGGACAACCAAAAATGTGGAATCATAACAACATATACACAAGTGCAGTGTGTGTGTGTGTGTGTGTGTGTGTGTGTGTGTGTGTGTGTGTGTGTGTGTAGTATATAACGTAACTACGTAGTTAACTAAATAACTAGTTTACGTTTAAACTTTTAAAAACTTAACTAAAACTTAAAACCTAAAAACGTAAGT